AATCACAACATCTAAGTTTTGCCTGACGTATAGCTAGACAGACAGATTCGCACGACACTAGACGGCACTGACCAGTATAGGAAATCCTATATTCCTTAGTACCATCTAGGGGCACTATTGCATTGTGAACGACATCCTTTTTTAAATGAACCCCATGATGTTGCTAACTATAAGGCCTTAGGAAAAAAGGGGTTGAAAAATAGGTAAACACATCAAGCAGCATTGTCAGTTTCTGGTCAGATCTACAGTTATATGCTCCAAACATATATTTATGTGTAGAGTGCTGTTCTTAAGACAACAATCAATCAACAAACACTAATTCTTACCCAACTTAGACAATCAAAAGAAAAGTCTGATTATGAAGATTACTGAACGGGTTACTCGTTTCTTAATAAGAAGGCTGTCGTATGAGAAACATGAAGCTGCACTTGCTTACCTCTTGTCACTGGCCCTGGAAAATAATGCAGATAAGGACAATCAGGCATTCCTAATTTGCACATGCGTTCTAGATCAGTGATCATTACTAAATTAACTGTGGCTCTTTACTTAAAATGTAAATAAAGGTGAAGGACCAAACATGGTCTAAACCTGAGCTTCTCCAAATTCAGACATGCCCTGGGGCCACCTGGTCAATTAGCTGCACGCGGGGGCATTTCCTGCCCCGCAGTTGAACGTAAACAAAGGGGCAGGATGCTTGTGCTGGCGTAATTGACCTTTTATGGCCACATAGCCATAATCCGTAAATGTCATTGACCAAATGAAGCCCTGTGGCCATATAAAGTCAATTATGTCACTGTATCCTGGCCAATTGCTTACATGCAGTTGCAGATGGAGATTTCGCCTGCCACAGCTGATTGGGCCAGGTAAGGGCTTTAAAAAAATTTCTAACGTAAACACAGAGAAGGTGCCCTTGGGGGGCAGGGTGAGATGAACTGATGAGAGAAACTGAAGGACTTCAGTATTTCTACTGTGAACATTGAGAATGGATTGCTCCACAGTTCCTTCAGCTACAGAGGTCAGTGAGTTTTTGGGGGTGATTTACTAACCTAAACACACACACACACCAGGTGTGTGTGATTTTCACACAGCAAAACGTATTTATCAACCAAAAAGTCTCTAAAAGCATATTTCCACTAATGCCATATATGGAAAAATCATGCACATGATGCATATATAATGCTGCTTCACAGTTTAGACAAAAATGGTTAGCTCATGCATTTACATTCCTTGCATTCATCAACACAAGCAACACAACATAGAGCTAATTTACCCAACATCACCTTGGAATTCCTTCAGGGCTTTGCACAACACACCTGCTGGGTGTGTACACATTACAAAGCTGTTTAGATTCCACCCATAGATCATGCTGGGAGGGAACACACTGCAGAGGTGTATACACGTTCGTGGTGTGTTTATAAGGTTAGTAAATCAACCCCTTTGACTTGAAGCTCATTTATCGTTTGTTAAAAATATGAAAATACTTGATTGTCTATTGCCTGGCCGCTGATGCACTTTAAAATAAAACTGTACTTGGAAAAATTGACGGCTGCTTGTGCAAATGCTAGTGGCTGTGTGCGGTTCAATAATTTATAAGTCAATGGGGGTGATTTACTAACCTAAACACACGCACGCAACCAAAAAGTCTCTAAAAGCATATTTCCACTAATGCCATATATGGAAAAATCATGCACATGATGCATATATAATGCTGCTTCACAGTTTAGACAAAAATGGTTAGCTCATGCATTTACATTCCTGCATTCATCAACGTAAGCAACACAACATAGAGCTAATTTACACAACATCACCTTGTAATTCATGCAGGGCTTTGCACAACACACCTGCTGGGTGTGTACACACTACAAAGGTGTTTAGATTCCACCCATAGATCATGCTGGGAGGGAACACACTACAGAGGTGTATACATGTTCGTGGTGTGTTTATAAGGTTAGTAAATCAACCCCAATGTGTGCAGTTCTACCTGCCCTGGGTCAGTAAATTATAATATAAAAGCTGGTTTTACAGCATGTGAGACAAGCAACTAGTTTTTTTTTTAGAAAGAGCTGCCTGCTGTGTAAACTAATAAATAAGATTACGTGAGGTGGAGACGTATTTCTTCATGAGATTTAACATTGATGAGAAATAAAGGTTTGTGACCTATTTAATTGAAAACATTCATTTCACACTGCCCAATTTTGTTGAACATTTTAAAGAAAAGTGTGAGTAAAAATAACAAGCATGGTCAAGCAGATAATCATACATCTCAGTGAATTGACTAAATTGGTATGTGTGGTTTAGAGCAAAAGAATACTCCATTTAAGGGTAGACATGGGTAGCACTCCCTGACCCACAAGGATATATGGGGAACCCCAGAGGCAGGGTGGGCTAGCATTTCACCTCTGGGTCTGGTCATTGGCAATAGTGAGGCAATGTAAACAGATAGGCACCATTCCCTTTTAAATGCAAACAAGGAGTTTATTGACTCTAACCAAAGACTCCTGGGATGGAGGTTTAGGGAACAGGACATCCATGGATATGTCAAACTCCAGAAAAGAGAAACAAAAAGTACTTACAGTCTTCATAGATAGAGAACCTTTATGCTGACCTGGCAGTCTGTGAAATCATCATTTGGCTGCAAAATGCGCAGTCCTTCAGCTACCAATTCCTTGGGGAGAAATCACCATACTTCAGTCGAGTACCAAACCCCTGCCCATTTTCTGAGGTACATTCAGGCTGAAGTTCGCCACTGATATCTAAATTCTATGACTCAACATACCAGTCCTCAGACCCAAGCCACTTTCCAAGCACATGGTCATCCTCCACAGGCAGCAGGCCTTGGAGGATCAGACAATCTACAGCATCCTTCCTCCAGACTTTCTGCCTGCTGACTAGCTTACCAAGGTCACCCCAAAATATGTATACCCTCTCCAAGCCAACGGCATTAGCAATAAACCTCTTAGTAGTTGGCCAAATAGTTATAAACCTGATTATTGCAGTCTACCACTTTATTACCAGGGACAAGCCCCAGCAGCAGGCAGAAGCAAACAATGACCGGAGCCCAGAAGTTACTCAAGAAAGCTGAACTACCAATCAGATGTAGGGTGACTACAGCCTGGAAACTTCTACCTGATTTACTCAAGAGTAAAGTGAAGTGCAGTAAAGTTCAGTAACTGAATTAAAGTCAACACGTGTTCAGTTCAATCATCCAATCATTTGCAGAGAAACTTTAAAATAAGTCCACTTCACTGCATCTAACTTCAGTACACCAGGCCTCTTGTGTATATTTTCAAGGTTTTACATGCTAGATGTACATGTATTAAGAATATTCAGTTGTTGAACCTTGCACCTATTATTTTTATTACTCTGCACTAGACTTTTTTTATTAGATGTTATATAACTCCAACAAATTCATAGTTTGGGAAAATTACATACCACATTTAATATACGAAAGGATTAATAACGAAATAGACAATAAAACAAAAGGTCAGGGGACCTAGCGCTGAAGAATCTAAAGGAGTAACATAACACTCCAAGACATTATGTATAGCCCCCAGAAGAGTAATTTAAAAGAATAATAGTTCTAATAATATTAATAATAGTAGGTTGATAATATGTGTCCCTAAATAATACAGTTCACCTAATGCTGAACTCCAGGCACACAAAAATTGTATTTAAAATTAATCCTCTATAGCCAAACATTATATAAATCCCCAGGCATCCTTATCCCACTGTTCAGCTTTTAAATTGATAGTGTTAGACATACCATAACTTCATTCTTAATAGCATCTGTCTCAGGGCCTCTACTGAAGCCATATGGTAAGAGGCCTTCCTAACAAAAAGATTGTATTAAAGATAACAAGGTTTACTGCATTACATCATGCCTCATATCAGGAAAAACCCAGAGACATGGAGTTTTTGTATATTTGAATATATGTATAGTGTGAAAAGAGCTATTACTAGCAATAAATGCTGATAAATTGCCATTTTTGTTGCATCATAACATTGAGAGAATTATGACGATTGCGCTGATACTGATTTGTGTTTCTGATCTGCTTTTCACTTAAAGGACTGGTACAGCCTCCTTCTGCGCTCTGCCGCCCCGAGGCCGGGCCTCGGTGGCCTTGTGGGAAATCCGGGCCTGCTCCTACAATGATATTTGGTTAATATCTGACTTCATTTATGTAACCTTTGTGCAGAATTAATACAAATCCTTAATTATTCTAGTCAGTAAAATGATCTCCAGTGCTTATTTTTGCTTTAACTGGCCTGTATGAAAAATCAGTTTATGTTACAGAATCTCTTTCCTTCCCCCTAATCTCTGTAGAAGACATCTTACCCTTTCAATGTCTTCTTCAATAATTTTGTTTTGGATAGAGCAGGCAAGGGTCACAACCTCTGGTGGATTTCTATTGCCTTATTTGTCCCCATTGAGGAAATGACCCCTCATTTTCTGTTCTAACAGAAAGTTATGGAAAATCTGTGCAGTGGGAACAGAGGCAAAAACAAATGGAAAGAGTAAGCCTCAGACGTCCTTACAATGTTTATATAATCCATGCCTTCCTGTCCCGGTGGCAAATGTATCCCCTATTCTTGAATGAATATTACAGGATCAATACGTGAGAACAACCTCCCAAATGTTACCACAGAAGGAAATAAACCTTACAAAGGATTTATCTTCTCCGCTCTATGCAAATTGTAATAACTCATTTTCAGTGGAGATAGATTGCATATTTGACTTCCAATATACTACAGGAATACCATCCAATTTTTCCACCCATTGCTAATCTGTTAGTTTCAGAGAAGCCACCATTTTATTGTGATATATGTAAGGAAAAATATAAAATAATATGGGTGATGTGTATCAGTGTTTTATGGGTGTTTGTTAACATACAAAAGCATAATCAGCGACTCAATATTTATGTTTGATGAATGAACATAGGAAATGTTGCAGTGTTTACAAGGTTTTGCGTGATAATAATAATTTGTATGCATTTTTACAGGCTCCTGTTACTAGGATTCTGGAATAACAATAAAACTGCCACAGCTCCATTTTTATCTCTATAATTTACAACTCAACTTCTAAAACCACATGCTAAGTTTAGCAGACATGGAGAAAACCTACTCTCTCACAGCCCACTATGATGAATTCCAAGAAGTCAGGTATGTGAGCAAATTCAACAGTAGTAGTACACTTTCCAATGGATTTAACATTCAGGTGAACTCCAAAAAGCAGTCTAAAGGAATCCCACGGTGGAGCCGCAGAGAGACCTGTCTGCTTTCAGGGCTGGTCTTTGCAGCAGGTCTGTGTGTCATTTTGGGGTGTATGCTGGTGTTAAAATATCTCTCTATGGAACAAGATGGTCAGTGTTTAGAAGAATGCCAAGAGAGAAAAGCTTTCTTGAGAGCTTCCAAATTTATCAGCAGCAACATAGATTCAACAATACCGCCATGCAATGACTTCTACTCATTTGCTTGTGGGGGTTGGCTTAGAAGGCATAGAATACCAGAGGACAAGTTAATCTATGGCACCATTGCAGCTATAGGAGAACAGAATGAAGAAAAGCTGCAACACCTTCTCCTGCAGCCTGTGCGAAGAAAGCACAGAGGATCTTCTGAAAAGAAAGTGAAAGAATTCTTTCGATCTTGTCTCAACATGAAGGAGATTGACCGTTTGGGGATCCACCCAATGCTACAGGTCTTGGAGGACTGTGGAGGATGGGATTTTCCAGATCAGGCCAAAAGCAAGTGGGACTTTAATGAGCTGCTTTATAAGACACAGGGAGTATACAGCACTGCAGTCTTCTTCTCATTGACAGTCAACCTAGATGATAAAAACTCTTCCAGATATGTCATCAGGGTAAGTAGGTTTTTATAGATCTCCTAACCAACATACCACTCTAAGTTGACAGTTTTTACTTTTTTGTATATTTGAAAGACATCTCACTGGAATGTAACACATAACTGAACCTTCAAAATTTGCTTAAAATTACGGGGGCACGAAAGTGGCTCGTAATTTTAATATTCTGCAATGTTTATTAGAGTATTGTTTCAGGAAGCTTGCTTTATTTTTTCCCTGTGACTGGCTAGTTTAGAACAATACTAGTATATACTACTGGATCGGTGGGCACATGTCAGGATAGTCTATTTTGTTGCATTTAGGGTATGGTGTAGTAGTACAAGCAATCACAATCATGCCAGCATTCTGTTATGATTAACAGTGCATTATGGTTCTAGGTTTTTACATCCACTATAAGTTACCTAATTTAATTTAATGGGAAAGGATGTGCACTTTACAACATACATCTTAGAGGCAATATACATATATTTCTTGGTGATCAGTAGTAAAGGACAATATTCTCTAAATTCAGTTGGATTTTTTTAAAATTATGTTTTGCTAGAATAAATAATTTCCTAAATATTTAAATATTAAACATTTATGTAAAAACGAAAGTGTAAAATAATGTCAGGTTTTATGCATTTAGGCAACACTATGCCATTGTTGCATCTGGGCTCCAAGCTTACAATTAATTTGAATATATTTTGTAGGTTTAAAGCGGACCTTTACCCATATCTTTAAAATAACAACAAACACACCTTTAGAAATGTTTAGCAATGACAATCTACAAACACATACTTCTAGATAATTGCAGGCTTTGTATTCTTCGCATACCTTATTTCTTTTTTCTATCCCAGTGTTCTGACCGTGGCCACGTTTACTAAGGGCAGATTACTAGCTCTACTTTGACTTCCTGGATTTCTGGTACATGTGACTAGACATGTGACTATGACATCCATATCATCTCAGGGAAGGAAAATGCCTTTCCTTGCAGTTGAGACTTCCCAGCAATGCTCTGCTGATGACAAGGAAATCCCAGTGGGCATTGGTTTGGCAAACTGAAGTCATTTTGCCCTTTCAAAGCAGGAAGTAAATGTTCTGCAGGTGTAAGTATTTCAAAATCACAGCATTTTACACTTGACATGTCTATGTTATTATTATTCATCGTACATAGAGGGATGCATTGGTAGAATTAGATTTTTTTTAATGTAAAGGTCTGCTTCAACACCTTGTAGAGTATATCATGTTGCTGATCTTTTTGTTGATTGCTATATACCTAGGAAAAAAGTGTAAGTGTACTTTCAACAACCTTCATATCTCACCTCCACCACCACCTGCTCTTTAAGTCTGAAATACATATCTCAGATGCAGACAAGCAGAACTTCTCAGGTAGTGTTTATTTCCTTGGATTTTGGCACACTCTGAAGTCCTCATTCTAAAGCCCTTGTGCGTGCAATAGGTTGGGTCATAAAGAATAATAGCTGTACAAGGTTTATGCACCAAGCTAGGAACAAGTGGGACCAATATTGTCTTCGAAAGCTCCCAATGCATGCTCAATTATATTAGAACTTTGGAGTACACTGGAGCCAGAGGACGTAAACATTCATAAACATTGCTTGGCTCCTGTATCTCCTGAAGGATGTGTGGGATTGTTCACAAAACAATGATGATTTTTTTTTTGTGAAAGCCAAACTCTAGATTTTCTTTTTAGATTTAGTGGTAACATCTCTGTCAAGTTTTTTTTCAGTTTCTTTTCTTAGTTCAGTTTCTGCTTCTTAGTTCCTGTCCTGGTGACAGGCGGTCAGAGGAACAGGAAGTACCGGCAAATGTCATTATTGGGGACAGAGATAGCAATATAAAGTAGGGATGAGTTAGAAGCACTTTGAGGTTTCTACTCCAGCTTACTTCTTACTTTTCCGTCGTCGCCCAATCCTCTTGCACTGGTATCACTAGTAAAGAGGGGGAATCTCCTTTATGGAGTTATAGACAAAGGTAAAATTCTGATGGAGGTTCAAACCATTCCCCCTGTTATCTAAAACACAAAAAAGTTTTGGCTGTAGTTGGACTAGAATCGCATAATGTTTATGACGCACCAGTAAATGACTGCTATAACACATGCAGCTCTGTTTGTTTCTTACTGTTTGTCTTCATAAGTATCTTGCCAGTTTAGATCAAACAATGCACTAAAACATGTCAGCTCCTCATTTTTGTAGGGCTAGACCTCAATTTCCACTTCAGTTTCTCTAAATCTGTTGTTTAAATGTTGATGTTACTCCCTTAGATTGACTCAACACATACTATTCTGTCATTGATAAACTGATGCAGTGCATGGTGCTGTGCCGCATTCTTAGATTTAATTTCTGACCATGTCACAGCTAGAATTATTTCTTATGCCTTGAGCAGCACAGGCTGTGAACAGTATGAAGGTTATTTGGGAAAGAAAAGAGTCTCCATCTAGTGCCTAAAAGTGGTACCGCACTATTTTTCTGAACAAAAGGTATACCTTTGTCACAGTTACTGCAGAACATATTATAAAGTGAAAAAAGGATGATTTACTAAATGTTCTCTTCAAATACCAAATGAAGCTAGGGAGACATTTTGCTTGGAGTGAAGCAAAGGTCTGATGCTCTGGTGAATCTTTAGCAATTCAGACATTTCACTTGGGTTCATTAAATTTGCTCTAATGCACATTGGTTGTGTTCCGGTTATCGTTGGAATTGATTAGAGGGTGCTTTGACTTTCTGAATTGTAACATTCTTAAATAGATATTTTAAGCCGTTCCCCTGGTAGTTTAATATCTGCACATGGAAAGCTCATGAATTAAAGGTATACCAGGTCCTCCTTTGTTATATCAACAGTTACCACAAAACTGACACGGCTGATTTATGAAATCTGTAACAAAGAAAAGGCAGATGCTCAAGCAATTAAGCATTCCTTCTAACCCAAATGTTAAAGCTGAACTGAGGCAAATGTAGACTTCAATTGACTGCTGATTTGTCCGAGACTGGCCCGCCTAGCAAGTTCAGCTCAAGAACTGACCATTTGATGCTAGAACCTTTTCAAGAACCCCATAATTGTTATCTTGGGACCTGCAGGTAACTCTTGCAACAGTTGGTGTGAAAGTGCATGCATCTACATTTAGAAAGAGATTGCATCAATTTAAAGGAGAACTATGAGGTGAGTGCTTTTCACTCACCTCATAGTTCTAGCCGACCTGTGACAATGAGACTGTCACAGGTCGACTCAGTAGATCGGGAGGTGAGCGAACACATACCGGCATTCACTCACCTCTCGATCCTGTCACGGCTCTCTGCCATGACAGGGGAGGGGCTGGATTCCCCCCTCCCCGCTCTGATCCGCCAGCGCTGAATGGCGGAACGGACGTGGTAGGGGGCGGGTACAGCTGGCTCTATCTCTAAATAGGCAGAGCCAGCTGTCAGTCATGCAGCTGGGCGGATCCCGGCACAATTGTCGGGATCCGCTTCAGCTGTGGCGTCTCAGTATACCGCGAGCTACAGCTCGCGGTATACTGAGCCTAGGGTGACGGGAGAACGCTAGTTTGTGTCCTCCCGTTACCCTAAGAAGAACTATGGGGAAAAGCCTTAACCCCATAGTTCTCCTTCAACCTATATGGGAGGTGTACCAGGAAAAATCCTTTGCTGCCCAAAAAGAACAAGGCTACAGTTTGCCACTTAACATAGGCAAAGATTAGGACTTCCAGAACAATGTGCTGAGGACTGGTGTTGAATCAAAGATAGAGTTCTGGAGCCATAGTGACAGTAGACATTTTTGGTTTGGCTCAAACCAAAGACAGCATTTAAGGAGAAGAACCTTATGCCAACTGCAAATCGGGGTGGTGCAAAAGTTATGGTATTTGGTTGCTATGTTGCTTGAAGGCTTGGGCAGCTTGAAGTCATTGCATCAGCCATGAATTTTCCATCATATCAAAGTTTGCTTGATAAGAATACGAGTCCATCAGTCCAAAAGTTGAATTTGAACCAGAAGTGGATTTTTTAATATAACAATGATTCCAAGCACACTAAAAAATCCACAGAGGGAATTGCTCAAAAAGAAGAAATAAATGGTTATGAAATGCCCTATCCAAAGCCCTATCCAAAGAATTTTTGCTTGAAGGAATGGTAAAAAAAAAAAGCCATCAGTTGATATCAAAGACTGATGGGCACTTATGCAAAATGCCTAAACAAATGAATTTCTATTAAAGGGGGTGATACCAGCTTCTGAGGCCACAACACACCACTACATCTACTGATATTGTTGTTAACTAAATGGCTGAAAAGGCAAATTTGTTTGTGTTTTTACACCTTTGCATGAAGGCATTGTTTAAAGAAAGACCTAATGTTAGCCCATTAAATTATGTTTAAAAAGTTAACAGTTTGGTGTACTTACTTTTTCACTTGACTGTAATTGGCCCACTAGTGCTTCACCTCCATCTTCCAGAGGATCATTAACCTTTTATGTTATGTTTGCTCTTTTTGCACTAGTTGCATTTACATTTAGCCATAACAGGCTATGTGACTGTTTTGGGACCCAGGAGCACCGGGGGCCCAGAGATGTCTGGTTACACAATGATCTATGAAGACAGCAATAGCATTTGACAAATATAATTAAATGAAGGGAATGTATATCAAGTTTGGGAGCCTTTAAACTATTGTTTATATAGATAATTAGGTTTCTGTTAATACTAAACAGAGTGTATTCGAGATAGAGATTAGAGACATAAATGGCTCCTCATAAGTAAATGAATCAGCCCTTATATAAGTCCCAGAAGAATAGAAAGGGAATGTTCAATAGTGAGGACTATTCCTCTCTTTTTTACCTTGTCATCAGCTTTTTTACACTTTCCTTCATATTATAAACATGAGTTATCTTGGTATTTAATATCCTGCCGTGTTTTTCAATCATCCAGCTTCATGCTCCCCCCCATCCCCATTAGATGTGGATGTTCTACTGTATTTACATTTTAAGTTGAGAGGATTTCACACACTGCATGTATCAAACAG